AGTTTGAGAAACACTGATCTAAAGCATTATCAATATGTCCCTACCAAATTTATGGCCATGAAAAATGTGTCATGGACTGTGAAATCTGTTTTTAAATCCTATACTATACAGATTTCACAGGGGAGACCAGCGTTTCTCAAATTGGACATCCTGTCCAAAAGGGAGTTGCAGGGGGGTCACAAGGTTATTTTAGAGTGGTTGCGGTATTGCCACCCTTACTTCTGCTTTGCCTTCAGAACTCAGCGGCCAGAGAGTGGCGATGTTGGCCAGGCTCCCAGCTCTGAGGGCAGCGCCCTGCCAGCAGCAGTGCAGAAGTAAGGGTGGCAATACCATACTATGCCACGGTTGCCACCCTTACTTCTGCTGCTGGCAGTGGATCTGCCTTCAGAACTGGGCTCCCGGCCAGCAGCCACTGCTCTCCAGTTGCCCAGGTCTGAAGGCAGCACCGCTGCCAGCAGTAGCACAGAAGTAAGGGTAGCAGTACTGCGACACCCGCTCCCCACCACACACATAGTAACCTTGTGACCCTACCCAACTCCTTTTTGGGTCAGGACCCCTACAATTACAACACCATGAAATTTCAGATTTAAATAGCTGAAATCATGAAATCAACTATTTTAAAAATCCTATGACCATGAAATTGACCAATATGGACTGTGAATTTGGTAAGGCCCTAATTATCAACATTTTTCATTTGCCAAAACTGAGTTTTTCGTAAACACATGTTGTTGAGATATTTGCTTTTAAAATAGTAACTTTGGTATGAAAAATGGAAGAAAAACAAACCCCAAACTAGTATTGACCTTTTAAAAACCACTTTTTGAAACAGACCAATTTTTAATTATAAACGTTTCAAAAACTTCAGACCAGCTCTGCTTTTTCCACAGAACCTGACCTTGAGACCCATGAAGACAGAAGGTTTCACAAACCCATAATACTAATGATTCCTAGCACTGCAGCTCTGAATTTTTGCGTGCAGAATCATAAGTGCATTTGGTCTGCCATCTGGAGCTCTGGTAACAGAGAAGTACAGTCTCCAACAGGAAGCTCCTTCACTGACAAGGTTCAGGAAGGAACAGATTGGGAATGCTCAGAGGGCAACATATATGCTTAGCAGGGGGTGGTGTTTGACAGCCAGTAGAGGGCCTAGACTGTGTTCTGTTCCTGCTCCTACTGTCATTAAGGGTCAGAATATTTTAAGACTAAAGGCTGTTTCATTTATCTCGTGCTAAGACCCAGCAGTGAGAATGCTGTACAAATTACATCTTTAGACAGAAAACGGGGGGTGGGGGGAGGCAGTTTATGTCCCCTCCAGTCTTTGCCCTTCTCCTCCCATTTCACCTGCACTTGATATTGTCTAAGGAACATCAAAAGCTTCTCTAGGGAGCATTAGAAGCCTGCCTGCTGTATTCATTAATGAACCAGAGTTTGTTGTTAGCCTCTGTCCATCCTTTCAAGCAGGTGTCACAGCAGCCAGTAGCAATTACAGCTGTATTCAGGGGACAGCAGCATGATTCAGCCAGTCAAAAACAATCTAAATGGACTGAAGCTTTCACAATTTAGGGATTATATATTTTTAGCGAGCAGCATGATGTGATCCAACCGGATAGCTGTGTTTTTATAAATGGAGCACTTGATCTTTTCTTTGCAGCAGGTGACAGTATAATGTTCAGAGATGTCGGAAAGAGGAAAGGAAAATGATTACTAGGTGGAAGAAGGAGAGTGGGGGAGGGGGAAGTTTGCATCAGATTAGAAGTATCATTTGGTCCTGCAAAAGTACATGGGGTCAGATATTCCAGGGTTCAGATTCCCTTCATGCCCCAAAATAAGTTGCAAGATTTTCAAAAGGATGCTGAACTCTTCAAAATATGGGGTGCCCAATTGTGTGAAAATCTGGCCTTTAATCAGAAGCCTAAATGAGAACTGAGTTCTTTTGAAAATCTGGCTTGTAGGTAATTATATATTTTAGACATTTTTGCTTCCTCTGCCTTTTAAAAACTGTGATGTGTAGTTATTACTGGCACAGAATGCGCCACCCTGTTGGCGGTTCTCTTTTGGTAATGGATGAATGGTCCCTATATTTGAAGTCTATAAAGTGCTTTTGGATCCTCCTGGATGAAAGGTGGTAAATAGGAGATGTTTTATTGATCCCTTTGAGTATTTTGCTGTGTAAAATTGATAGTTGAATTCTACATCTTATTAGAAGTATTATTTCAGGGTGAAAACAATGCTACATTTTAGAAGCTTATGGAGAAAAGAGGTTGCTGGGGAGAGTCCCTGAAATCTGTAGTGTACAGGCTTGCTTCCCAGAAACAGACTTCTTATCTGAATTCTACCCACTGCTTTCAGCTAACTGGTAATCACAATGGAACTTAACTAGGCTTTCCCATCTTAGAAGAGTCTAGTGGAGATGCTGATTAAAATGTGAGGAAATAAATTGCAAGACAGCAAACATATCACCTCAGGGATCTTGGTGCCTGGAAGGGTAGTTACCTGTTTCGTGTCTCCCATGTATGTCTCAAATCAGGATCCAGTCATAATGCTTTGCACTTATTTAGTGCTTTTCATCTGAGGATCTTCAAATACTGCTACAGATGCTTAAGAATAGAGGCTTACAATGCCCATGTGAGGTTAGGCGCATGTTTTTTTGCAGTTACAGATGGGGAGGATGTTGCAACTTCCCAAGTTCCAAGGAAGTCTATGAAAGAGTTTTTTGTTGGGAATCCAGACGTTCTTGCTCTTAGTCCTAAGCTTTATCTAAGAAAATCTGTAATCTGAAAAAGAAAGGCATAGAGTAAAGTAGTATATGTAAGATTTCAGGCTGAGAACTTGAACATAAACTTACTATTTTTGTTGGAATTAGAATTCTTAAAATAATTGCAGGAGGTATGTAGAAAAAATACATTGACAACCGAGAATGTTGAGACACTATTATATCTCTGTTAGTAAATATGTCTAATTTTTTTCTACAGCATCAGTTATTTCTGCAAGAACAATTTTATCTGTGATCGGTTGAGAAGGATTGCGTGTCTGGAACATCAAAGCCCCCACAATGAAGCACTTCCTGAGGTAACCCTTCTCCAGAACTATGTCTAACGATAACTCATTTCTTTGTAGAACAATTTTGCTGTATTTTGGCCCTTATCTTCTATGTAACTAGTGGAACATAGCTCATTATTAGTTGCTTTTCAGCCACTTTGCCACTACCGTTTAATTAAAACTGTCAAAATGCTAGATTGTATTAAAACTTCATTTTCAGTTGTACAGAATATAGGAACTGGCCTATTGAATCGGATCACTGATCCGTCTAATACAGTGGCATGTCACCAGTACTTGATGTTTCAGAGGAAAGTTGAAGAAACTCACAAATGGACAACTAAAGAATGATCCATTAATGGCAGAGAATCCCTTTGGTACTGCAGATTTCAGTATTGTTACTTGAGATTGAGCATCCATAATGGTCTGGTACCTAAGCCAATCTCGCTGCCATCACTCTTTTGTTTAAATGGGTTTCCTTCACCACTTCTGTCAGCAGTGATGTAGTGCAAAATTTTATAGTGTAGGATCCCCGTAGAAGGGATCTCAAGTTAGTAATTCTGTCACGTGCGATAGGGTTTGAATATGGGTGCTTTGTCTTACAGTGACACAAGGTAGTTAAGATTTTGGAGGCTAACGTTTTACCAAGAAATTTTATCTAATTGAAAATCTGCACAACAGCAATTGTGAGCCTTCATGCATTTGTAATAAATACACATACGTCTCAACATGAAACACACATAACTCAGCTTTTATTTTCCGAACTTTAAGCTAGGTAGCAAAGCATGGTCAAAGCACACATGTCGTTAGTCAAAAAGCCCATTGGCAGCAAGTGTAAAATACTGTCTTTACAACATTCATATTCTCTGGAAACTTCATATGAGGGCAAGATTCACTGATTTGCTTCAGCTACTTTTGAACTACTCCATAAACCTGATTTGACTGGCTAATCAGACCAGGGTGACAATGGTTTTCCACCAGTCCCACACTTACCCTGACAGCCTACTGACGCATCCCAGCAGCCGTGACACACATCCTGTTCATTGCTGCCCCCTGCCCTCCAGTCCCTCATCCCACAGGCCTTCAACACTCCCCATTCACTCCTTAGCCCATCGACAACTCTCTCCTCTGCTGCTCACCCACTACCCCTGGGACTTTCCTGGCCATTCACCAGCGCATCCCTGGCTCAGCACTCTGCTTCTGTCCCAGGTTAGAGGGCTCCTCTCAACTGCAACCACCCAGCAGCTTCGTTAGCTCCCATCACCCAGCTAACACACACAGCACAGGACAAATTTGAGTGATGAGTGGCATTGCAGCCTTGCACATGGGGTAACCGTGCCAGTCCAGTTTGGTGGAGGCAGAGGGGTGGCCAGGGGTGATGGAGCAGCCAGGCCAAACCTGAGTGAAATTGCAACCCTGCATGCTAGGTCGCAATGGCACTTCCTCGAATTTGGTCAGGCTGTTCCCTGTCCTGACGGAAGGGTGGCCGGGTCAAATTGGAATGGCGTTGCAACCCCATGCACCAGGTGGAGTGCCAGTGGGCTGCTCTGTCCTGGATTTCAGGTTCCAGAGCAACACTCCGGGCTACTCCAGCAGCACTACACCCCGTCTGTCACTGACTGTATACAAGCCCCCTGGGGAATGAGGCTGATGATTTAGAATTGTATGCACGCAGCCAGCTCTCCGTTTTTAATGTGCTAGTAGTAAAGCTCCTGTTTTAGTCAAGCCCAAATCAGATAGACAATGTCTTCATTTTGACTCACATAACCACTTCCCTATTGTTTCTTATTCTCTTCCTGTTGGGTGACTAATTGGGGAGGGTTAGCATTGCCCATTGTGAGCATGGTGATGGGCATACTAGAAATTAAAATAAATTCCTGTAGATGCCCAGAAGGAAATTGCCATCTCTCTACTTCATTTTATGATACTCCTAAAGGCAGTGAATGGAGAGTGAGTGTCTTGGAAGGCACTCAGATGCTATACTGGTGAGAGCCAAATAAGTATCTGTTTGGGAAACAGTTTTTCCCTTTCATGGGAAAATCTAACATTTTGAAATTACTTTCCTTTCTGATTTGGATTGAAAAGTCAAAATAGCAAAAAGTTTTTGCAAAATGAAAAATTCTAGAAAGTTTCAGTTTGGAAATGTTGAAGTGGAAAAAGTGGACAGTTTTGAAGTATGTTTCAAAATGAAACATCTCATTTTGAATCTTCCCCCATCACAAAATCAAAAGCATTAATCTAAATTGTAATCAACATTATAAGGGTTGATATAGGACAAGTTTTCAGATACTTCAGATGAAGTTGTTGTAATTTGCATATTGGGTTCTGTGTGGTTTTTAATCTGTTCCTTTTCTGTTGATGTATTGTTTGGGGGTTATTTTTATAATCTGTTTAAAATCCTGACCCATTCCTTTGATGTGGTGATTGTTGTATATATGGTTTGTTTTAATTAAATATCAACATTTTCAGGGCATGTTATTCAAAGCGTATTCGAGCAAAAATAGGTTTTAAAAAATTGATCACTTTAAAAAAGCTCAAGTAGAAAATATCTTTTAAAGGCGCTTCTTACACACAACTCAGAAATGGCTGAACTCAAAAATTACCTTTCCTCACTGTGAAGCAGTCTGTCTTCCACCTTGGAGGGGGATGGTGGGTTAGCGTTAGAAAAGTTTTCAAAAACTTGGCATTGTATGTGAATGATAGTAACTCTTGCTGACATTGAGACTAAGTTATAGGACTAAGCTAGAAAGATTCCTATGAAGAAATTAGTTATGATGCTGCATAGTGACACTTCATTTAATAAACTGAAGTCTTGCAATGCTTGAGAGATTAAAAAGCACAATCAATCTTTCTCTGTATATATTATATTTGATCTTAAACCCTTCCTTCAGACATTCCTTGTCCACTTGATCAACTCATCTGTTCAGTCCCTTCCCATGATTCTGCCAATGAGAGAAAATGGACTTTATGGCATGTTTGGAAAGGTAATCAATTTGCCTCTGGTGAGCCAAAGGGGTAGTAAATGCCAGAGCCAAAGGTTTCTCATGGAGAATGCACTGCCAGCAGTCCATCCTACTTAAAGCAAGGGGACTCCACCTTAAATGTCTCTGCTGATCACAATTGTTGTAGTGGTGCACCTTGGGTTTCTCAGGTAACAGGCCCCAACCTATTTAATGACCATTTGGCAATGCTGAAACTCTTGCAAATTTTGGGGGGGTGAGGGGTAGAAGGTACGCTCTGCTTGTGAAAGTGTGAGGCTATTCCATGTTCCAACCATGGTCCAGCCAACTAAAGACATTGTAGTATTCATTGTATATAAGGGATCTGCTTGGGTCTGCAACTTTCCACATTCTGCCTTTTAACATCCTTTTGCTTTGGGAAGACTTCCCTGGGGATTTAAAAACTGGACACATGCTGTTCCTGAATTGGGACTGTCCATATGGTCAGATTTATTTATGCACCTGAACCTTCACTCTCTTATTGTGCAGCACCAACAGAGGACTTATAAATATTGCAGAGAGCATTCTCATGGAGGGATTAATATAACCTTTCCAGAGCTGTCTTTGTTTTCATTAGTTTCTCCCCTTCATTTGTTGAACAAACCCATGTGAAATGCTCATTTGATCTGGGCACTCAGTTATCAGATAATTTAGAGGTAAGTGTGAATTTGATAAGCCAACCAGAAGGGAGAGTTGTTTCTTGCTCTCACTTTCTGATTCTTATCACACATACATAGTCTTGGGTTTGTTCTGTTTGCTTCAGTTTGACTTCCAGGCTCAACGCAAGAGCAAGAATTTTGGAGAATTTCCTGAAGTTTGACATTTTGGCAAAAATGGGAAAAGATTTTCGTAGAAAACATCTTCACTTTTCAACCAGCTCTGCTCACAACTGGGTCTTGGTGAGGCTGCCAAGATGTCACGTCCTTTTATAGTTGTTTGTTATTATTTCAGATACTAAAATATAATTAGTTACTTACTGTACTTAACACCTGCTGGAGTGCAGTTTTTCTCAGTAAATCCCTTAAATTTGTCACACTCCCTCGGTCTACTGGTAAATGGCCTCCAAGCACTAGCAAATTTTTACATTATGTTGTTATGTCTTGCCCTGATCCCATCAAGTAAATTAAAAATCACGAGGCAGTTTGAAGTAAGGAATGTGAAGGTGCAGCTCCCAGTATAGAATGCTTTTGAATGACTCTGTCCTGATGTGTTCCTTGGTTGCTATAGTGATTTTCCTCCATGTATAAGCGGATGGGCAAATAGGAATTCAGTCTTCCTTATGTCTGAAAAACTGTCTATGTCGTACAATTGTTTTAAAAAAAAAATAAGCTATCAGGTTTGTGTGGAGCAGACGGATAATTCTCCTATTAACGATGGCCAACAGAGAACCTTACTGTTGATCCTTATTTACAGCTGCAAGTTACACAAATAAAACAAGGACCAGTCGAATTGTTCATAAAAGTACAGTGTAACATTTTTAAAGGGTTTTTCTTACTTGGAAAAGCTGCTGTTCTGTGGATGGAATATAGAAGTCTTATTTTTCCAAGCTAAAATCAGAGTGCAACTACCCAGTAACGGTACAGTGAGCAGCTCTTAGTGTATTGCACCCGCATCCAGCAGACAAAATGAATAAACATCATCCATTTTCTGATGTGAGAGAAATAACATCTTTTCCACTGATGTGTGTCTGCAGGGAACAAAATAGTTGCATAGGTATCTTGTGTATCTGCAGGACGTAAAACTAGGCATGACGGGAAGACAGTAAGGGTGGCAAACAAACTGGATCTATGGGATGGATTTTTAAATTAGAAAGTTTGTTTTAATTTATACCAAACTTAGTCATCAGCACTGGGCATCTAATTAAAAAAGCATTCAGTTTACCAAGGACTCAGGCAATTGAATTTGTTTAATACTGATCTGTTCTTGGCTTTGAAAAATACTAATCTTCCTGCGGCTCTGAAAAATCATTTGAGACCAGAAGAATTGGGCTTGTTCCATTCATTAATTTAAGGTGGGATTTTCAAAAGCTCTGAT